AGTAAGAAGAGAATGTGTAAACCTGTTTAAATGCTTTCAACAGCACTCATTAAATCTCTTATCACCATGAGGGGGAAAAAAAAAAAAAAAAGGAAAAAAAGAGAAAAAAAACACCTTGGCAACACTAAGAAGTAAAATTTAGGGATTTCCATATAACTAAGCTCTCAAACAATTCTGAGGAGGAGAAAACTGACTCCAAGTAGAAAAAAGGACAAAAATAATTGGGAGTGACTGGCCTAGTAACAGAATAATCCTTCCCCTACCTTAACACAAATACAGACCACATACAGTTTACAGCAGAGAACTGACCTTTCAGAGAAAGAATCCCACTCCTACCTAACCTGTGTATATGTTTGATAAGGGTCAAACTTCACAGCAGGCAGCAGAGAGTCTGTCTTGGTCCCTGCAAGGAGAGATCCACCTTTCTGAAAACGGAGAAGCTGGGGAGTTAGGTGAGAGACACAGCTTTAGGCTTCTTTATGTTTCTGTAATCCAAATTGCCTATTCAGTGTTTGAGTAAGGTATTTTTTCCCAGTTGCCTAAAAGTGAGCAGCTTTGTTGTTTTGCACAGGCCATCCCCATGTTGTAGCAAGCACCTGCTTTTGGCAAAACTCCAAAAATTGAGTGTTTGCGCCCAGCAAAGCTCTAAGCTCAGCTGGGAATGATGAAGAAACTGTAAGAAGAAACACTGCAACTGAAATCACGGATTCCATCTCATCTTATCTTCGGAGTGGGGATGCAGAAGTTATAATCAGTAAGGGAATATGAGCCTAGAAAGACTATTAAAAAGAAAAACAAAACAAAACAAAAAAAAAAAAAAAAAAAAAAAAAAAAAAGGTCAACAGCATAAAGGCATCCATTTTATTATACCTATATATAGAGAAAGCATATTATTATCTAACAATATCTTTGAGTACTGAGTCATGGTTTCAGATCCATGAAAAGCTAGGCTGCAGGTGGCAATCCACTCATGCATATTTGCTCTTCACAAAACCCATTTTGCATTGAGGGAACTGCTAAAACGGAGCTGCCAGAACGCTATCAGGATGGTGCAGAAATCTTTGCAGATGCGCAATTTTCATCTAAAATAAGTTCTACTACTGCAGAGTCCTAGAGTACTTCAACACAAAATTAGCCAAAATGTATTTTTATGTAGTCTTCCCAGTTTCAAGAGCAGATGCAGCCCTGCTGTATGAGTGGAGGAGGACTGTTACCACATCATCAGCACCAGTTAAGTATCACACCAGTAGCAGGCAAGGGGAAAAGAGGACAGAGGGATCCTTAGAGTCCTGAATAAATCCAGACTTTGTGCAAAACAGGTTTGATATATCGGCTACCTTAGCACCTCTTCAGAATGACTACTGGGGAGTAAAGTTGGAAAAATAAAGCCAGCAGAAAAGGCTCATGTGCCAGCATTTTTGTTCTTCTTGGTCAGGCACAGGTTGAAGACACAGGAGAAACATCCAATGGTGACATCACAGAATCACAGAATTTCTAGGTTGGAAGAGACCTCAAGATCATCGAGTCCAACCTCTGACCTAACGCTAACAGTCCCCACTAAACCATATCCCTAAGCTCTACTATCTTTCCCATCAACTGACATCTTTCCCATCAACTGCTGGACTGCAGCAGTAACCTAAGAGCTGTATTGCTCCGTTATTAGCAAAATGCCCAGAGCTGTCAGCTCTGGCTCTTTCCATCAGCCTTTCCAGATTCATTTGCTTTTCATATTTGTTTCGCTTCCCACCATTTTTCAGCCAGATCTTTGTCATTGTCTTGAGAGTGCCTTCTGTCCAGAGCCCGCCAGGCATTTCCCCTAATGCCAGGCCCCAATGCAGACTGCTGCTGTCTCTGTGAGTTTTGATCTTGTGCTGCTTTAGCCTTTCACAACTGCTCTTAGTAACACGCTCAGAAAAAAATAATAAATAAATAAATAAATAAACAACAACAACAGCAGACTGTTTGCTAGTGTAGATTATCCTGCAGAGGTTTCTTTTTCCTTTCTTTTTTTTTTTTCTTTTTTCTTTTTTTTTTTCCTGTGATGTCTAAAAACCATGCAAGAGAGACAGGGATTTCCATCCCTGGCTAGAAATCTTTCCTAGCCTCTTTCACTCTTGAAAGAGCAAAAGTAGCTCTGCCTAGCAGAACTGATTAATTGTGGTTATAATAAAACATATCCCTTCTAAAAATATCTGACTGCATTGTGTTTTAGGAGCTAGAGAAAATTGGCATCATGGCTAAGATGTATGTGTACGTAGATGACAGGCCTTATGTAACACATTAATGCCAGAACTAAACGCTGCAGATTGGATTTTTACAACAGCATTTTTCAACGGTTACCATGAAACAATAGTGCTTGGTCAGGAAACCGCTGCAATAATCCTGCAGCTTTTTTACAAGTCAATATTTAAGGCATCGCTACAGCAGGCTGCGTTACTACAGCATTGCAGGAGCTGTGAAATGAGCCTCCGTCATTCATAATTACCTAGACGTAGCAGACTGCTGCTGAGCACGTCCTCAGCTTCAAATCGGGGGCCGGGGGGGGGGTTTCCAGCCGTGCAGCCTAAGGCGACCCCTGCGGATCGCCAGCAGAGGCAGCGCAGCAGCAGCCTGCAGCCCCTGCCCGGCTCCACGGGGTGTCAGCAGCGGCTGGCGAGGGCTCAGCTGGATGGGGAAGGTGCCCACGTCTTGCTCTCACCTCCCTGTTAGATGCTGTCCAGGTGAGGCAGGTGTAGGAGCCTTCCAACCCAGACCGCCCCGTGGGTCTATCCTATAGGGCATGAGAAGGAAATGGGGTGTTGTCTGCTGCCTTGCAGCTGTTCCCAGTTGGTTGTTGGTCTGCTAGGAGATGCTGGCATGGAGTAAGAGCTGGAGAAGCTGCAGGACAGTGATGTATGGAAAAGCAGAGAACATTAACTGGTAGCCAGTCAGCTTCACCTTACTTAGCCTCTGGAGCTGGTATGAGGATGGTGAGCCATCCTCATGATCACCATGGCTCTAGCAGGGCCAAGTCATTGCCAGTCTTTTTCCTCTAAAACATAGCTAACTATAGATCAGTACAATGTGAATTGTGAAAAACATGAAAAACATGGCCAATGCTAAGTTATCCCCATTCCTCTTTCTGTGTCATAGCAATGGATTGAGTCCCTGTTGGCCCTCGTATTATGATGGCCCAAGACCAATCAAGTAACTGGGAAATAAGAGTAGAAGGAACACACAGAAGTATCAGTGTGAGGACAGGCCTTCAATTAGCGGCTCTACATGCCCTTCCTGGCACAAGGAGGCCCAAAGTTGTCCTGTATTTATGACAACAGCCTTCAAAGCCTCACAGCATCTGCAGCCACTGCTAGGTCATGTCTCCTGTATCAGGCTGCAAGTAGCATGACACGAAGTCTCTCATACTTCACCTGAAATTCCCTCATGCTGAACTGATTGAAATTACTTCTTTGGTTTTTGTTGGAGCAGAATTTTAACTCATACAGTAGGATTTATACGGACAAGCTGCTTGCCAGTAACACCTCACTGAGATGCTCCAGCTAAGAACACAGTCCCATTGAACTGAGGCCTGTACATATGTTGCCCTTCTCTCCCCAGCCCCAGATTTGATTCCAAACTTGGTGAAGATAGAAAGAATTATTTTTCTGAAGTCAACACGCTTTAAGCTGGGCTTCACCCTGTAAATATTTACACAATGAGTAAGCCTATGCCCCGGTTCCTGATCTGGCTATTATAACCTAAGATGTTTCTGTCAGCTTAGAAGCCTGCCAGTGCAGATGAAGTGCAAAATGAAGGCTTTACAAGACACAGAATAAAATAATTCCTTTTAATATTTGTCCCTTTACCTAAACTTTTGTACTTTTTCCCTTTTACTTATTTTAACTAATTGTATGTAATCTTTGCTGGAAGTGTTGTATGGCTACTTCACCCTTTTTCACTGTTAACTCTTACCCTAGCTTTACTTCACAAAACTAAACAGCCGTCCCCACATGCCTCCCTAAATAATTGTTGGTTCCTCTTATAATTTGCTAATATGCCAGCTTCTATTTAAAAATAAAATATAATCATTGACTAACCATTTTAAAGCTGCTCTTGCCAACCTAAATTAATCCCCGTTCCACTTGTCTTTCTGCCTTTCTGCTCCACAACTGCCCCCTAGAGAAATAGCTCTGGAAGGAAGCAGTAACGCGCACATCCACTCACACAGCACTGGGAACACTTGGTTTGCTCCAGACTGGCAAGGACCGAGAGCGGTTTCATTAAAATTCTGGGTAAAAAATAAATGTTTTTGGGTTTGTTTTGTGGTTTGTTTGTTTTTGTTTTTGTTTTTTCGCATGAAGGTGCTAGGTTTCCCTTGAACATTTTTCTAAGTGCAATGAAGAAACCATGCCCTGAGGGGCACCAGACTTCAGTCTTCAGACATGAACTTCATGGACTCAACTTTTCCTTAGCCTATGTGGACATTTTGATAAGTGTGAGGTGAGGGGAAAGGTATGGCCAGTGCTAAGGCTTTTGGCTCCCTCACACAGCTCAGGGCAGGAAAACCCTTGAAAACTTTTTCTAAAGCACGGGACAGCCATTTCCGTGCTCTGACAACGCAGGTGGAGGAAGGACGATTATGGATAAGGGCTTCTGTTACAAAGAGGGATGCATTTTATTGCTGAAACTGAATCCACGTGAGGGCTGGTGGGCAAACTGGGGTTTGAGCCAGCGTGACTGGGGTTGTACCAATGTGTATTTGCGGGACTTTTCTCTTTATAAAGCCATTTTCTCTTTATAAAGCCAAATGAACCACAGACAAGCTTCCTATGAGCAGCAGGAGGAACGAGGGCCTCCTTTCTAGGGGCACATCCCCTCAGGGGGCCGCCCTCAGCGCCCCGCCAGGGGGCGCCGCCGCCCCGCGGCCATCCCTCAGCGGGGCGGGGCGGGGCGGGGAGCGGGAGGGGAGCGGGAGCCGCGCGCGCCCGTCCCGCCCCGCCCCGCCCCGCGTCACGTGCCCGGCGGGCGGCCGTTGGTGGCGCGAGGCGCTCCCGTGACGCGCGCGCAGGGAGGGCGGGGGGAGGAGGAGGAGGAGGAGGAGGAGGAAGGCTGGCGGCCGTTACCGGGGGCAGCCGCCATGTGAAGCCCCGGCCGGCGACACAGCGCGGCTGGGAGGCGGCGGAAGGTGAGCGGCGAGCGGCGCTGCGGGCTCCTTGCTTCCTTCCTGCCTGCCTGCCTTCACCCCCCCCCCCCGTCATGGCGAGGCCCCCATGGCGGTTGGCCTGAGAGGAAAAGAGCCGTGAGGGGGGGAAGTAGGGGGGGGGGGGGGGGGGGGCTGCGGGGCCCCTCCCTGCGGCCTGGGCCTGAGGAGGAGGAGGAAGGAGGGAGGTGAGGAGGAGGAGGAGGAGGAGGAGGAGGGGGGGGGTGGCGTTATGTAACCGCCGGCGGGGGGCGTGAGGGGGGAGGGGAGGGGAGGGGGAGGGGGAGGGCTGAGGGGGCTTGTTAGGGTTGGGGGGGTGTTAAAGATTGGGGAGGGGGTGTTAGGGTTTGGGGAGGGGGAGGTTTGGGGGGGGGGGGGTCTCAGGTGCCCCTCCCCCGCCGGCACCTGCAGGGGGGTACCCGTGTGTGTGTATGGGGGGGGGTGTTTGGGGAGGGGTCGGCAGCGAGGGGTCACTGCGGGGAAATAGGGGAGGGGATAAATTAAGGGGGGGGGGAGCCCTGTCGCAGCCCCGCCGCCCTCTCCTCTCCTCTCCTCTCCTCCCTTCCTACCTCCCCCCCCACCCGCAGCCGGCTGCGGATTTTGCGCCCTGCGTTGATTGTGAGGGGGGAGGAAGGGGCACGGAGGGCTCGCCTCTTCTATCCCCCCCCCCTCTCCTTCCCCCCTTTCCCCGCCTGCTGCTGCTGCTGTGTTTTGCTACGTAGCCAGCGCCGGCCTGACCCAGCAAAAGGCCCCTGATGGGAGGGAGGTGCGCGGGGATGGCATGTAAACCTTGAGAGCCGAGGGTAGGGTGAGAGCGTAAGCACGCGATTATTATTATATTTTTTTTTGAAGGGGGGGGGATAGGAAAGCCATGGTGCGTGCTGCAGTGTTCCATTATCCCCCCCGTGCTTTATGGTTAATGTTAGCCTTTGGAAAGGCAAGGCCTGCAAATGCTCGGTTTGTGTTAATGAGAGGTTTTTCTCCCTGAAAAAGAAGAGTTGATGTTTATTATGGATCTTGATTTAAAGTCGAGGTCCAATCTCGAATTTGATAGTGCAATGCAAGGAAGCAAACCCAGCAGATTGCAATTGCATGAGCTGAATTTTAACTATAACCTCTTATATTTAATAGCAATTAGGCAACAGTTTAAAACAGTCCTGTCGGAACAACAACAGCACCTAATGAAAAGGTTACAGCCAAAATACATTTGTGAAACAGCCCCGTTTTATTAAGGTATTTAATGCAGAAATCCAGATCTCTGACAAATTCTCTCTTTGCCATCTTGTCTCAGGCGTGTAGTCGCTGCCCATCCCCACCATAATTGTCTTTCACTCAGCCCAATTCTGCCACTGGACGGTGCACCAAATCCCTGTTGGTAAATAATCCCAAGCTGTCAGACTGGAGGTCATTGCTAGGACAGTTAGTAGAGGCTCAGTGCAGACACCTGCCTTGTGACTTGCTGCTGTTTAACTACTTGGAGATAGATTGTTTTTAAAGTAAAGCTGTGGTAGTATACTGGAAAAAAAAAAAAAACATATTTCAGGCCAATGTAGTAAGCTCCACATGTATATTTTTGTGCACAGTGTATGTCTTCAGTGCATTATTCATATTTCAGTGCATTATTCATATTTGGCCTTCCAAATGTATTGCCAGTCTGTCTGTCTGGATGGTGTGCATCCTCTTACCTAGCCATAGCCTGGTCTGCCTGGTGCAGCCAGTGTCTCGTAAGCGGGAGCTGAGTTTGATCAGTCTTTTCTCATCCCTCGACCTGGATTTCTGTCTTAAGGAAGCTTCATGGCAAATTTTCAATCTTGCTGCCATCCATTTCAGCTACTAGGAAGATTAAAAAAGAAAAAAGACTCTAATACAAAAACTCGTTTCAAGAACATAGGAAAAATGTGATTACAGACTTCTTAATGAATTAGTTGTTCAGGACATGTAGGAAAAGAATAACTTACCTGACCCTGCCATGTGCTTTCCCCCATTTAATCTGTTAAGCTATTGTTTACATTATGAAGAATGATTTTTTTTATTGAACATCCTTCTGCTTTAATTAAAGTACTATATTATCTCTGAGATCTCTGTCGGCTCTTAAGAGTGTGTTTGCCTGGTATAGATGCAGCAAGGGAGCTAAATACCCAAATGCTGAAACCCTCCCCCAAGAATACAACGTAGAGTTTGGTGACAGTGCCATGTGTTTACTGATGAAAGTAAAGAGAGCAAATCTAACTGGATGCAAAAGAGCATGAGGAACAGGTGAGGAATTCTCAAACAGTTCATGCAGTGTAATTGTGGAAATGTCTCTTTTTTTTAAGAGTCAAGTTTGTGTAGAGCTTCTTCTCCCTGAGAGCAGCTTTCTGCTCTGTTGTAGAAACCAGACAGCATTTTAATTGGAGACACAGCTGGTTTTAGGGAGGAGGGCTTCTCATGTCTGTGGTCCCTCTGCTTCTGTATTTCATGTGGAGTAGCTGGTGCTCATAAGATAGGAATGAGAATTAGGAAACTCTTCTTTCTCTTTAGTGGAAGAGAGGTGAGTACGTAGAACAGCTTTAAATTCTGGGCAGTGATGATAACTTCCATTCCTGTTGCTTGTCTTTTTAGAGCTAGCTGGAGGGCTGCTGCTACTGTAGTTAAGGAATCTGTGACGGTTAAATTCATCTGAGAGATACTTTTAATTTGGTATACCCATAGAGATGATCGCTGTATCTTCGATATTCTTTGCTGCAACTGTTTAAGCAGACGGTGTCCCCTGAATTTCAGCGTTAACTTTTGGGAAAAGTAGATGGTGGGTTGTGGTTTGTTTTTTGTGTTTTGTTTTTTTTTTTTTCCTAGTTCATTTCCTATTTCAAAGCTTAAGGTCTCCCAGTTAGTATTCTTCCTGTTTAATAGTGCTGAAGCTGGTGGTTTGGAACTTGCTGGCATAAATAAAGTTTAACCGTGTGGTTAACTCTTTTGTGTTGGTTTTGCTTCCTGTTCCCAGGTATCTGTAAACACTTTAACCAAATCCCAACGTAAGGAGGTAACAACAAACCCTATTTGGGTTGCTTGAATCACAAAGACCTTTTCAGCTTTTTGAATGAAAAAAAAAATCCTGAAAAAATACCTAATTCAGTTCAGGATAAGACACTGCTCAGGTTCTTTGCAGGTTAAGTGCAGATGGATTGGTTCAAATGCCAAAACTTGAAAGCAGTGCTGACGCTTAGTAGGGTTGAGATCTGCTGCAAGGCTTTTTTGTGCTGGCTTAAAGACTTGTCAGTCTTCTGGCAGGGTGGGCTATGGAGTGTGTTTTGGCAGGGGCCTTGGGACCACTGCTGCACCTTTGGGGTCAGCTTCTAGCTGTCAGTGCATCTCCAAAGTGAGCTGCAGTTCTGTCTGCCTTGTTTGCGAGTTCCTCCTCCTGAGGTGGTTCCCCTCAGCTCTTAGTCCAGGACACCATGAGTAAGCATCTAGGCAAATGGCTCTTCTGGGGACCTAGGAGCTGCTGGTGTTTAAAGGAAACCATGACACTGTTGATAATTCTTACAGGTAGGAAAGCCCAGGATGACCCTGCGGCATGTAAGGAGGAGGATTAGTGCCATTTATCAAGTAGAGCAAATGCATTTTACCATTTTGTGGCTTTTTTTAATGTAACTCCCAGTTGAGCTAAAGAAATGAAATAATGGTGTATAGTGGAAGGATACTGTTCTGGTTTGAGTCCACCGGTTGTTTTTAGGAAATATTGGGAAACTGGAAAAAGGGACTTAATAGTCACTATTTCTTAGATTTCCATGCTGAAATTGCATTATTTGGTGAACTGTTAATCCTGTGATAGAACAGTACTGGAGAAAGGGAGTAATGAGTTTTCGCTCTAATCTCTGATTGATCAGGAATTTGAAGTGATAAATGTTGCCCCTCCATAGTAATTCCTGTAATTTCTATGTTGATTTTTAACCTAGTAAGAGCAACAAGCCTCCTGTTTGCCTGAGGAAGGCAGTTTTTGCTCTGTGGCCTTTTCCTATCGATCTGTCTCTACTAAGTAGCAGTGTAACGCTGTTGTTTCAATGTCAGAGGTACTTACAAGACCAACTTGAAACCACATAGGGCCAAGAACACAATTCTGATGCGAGTTTTGTTTAGGGATCCTAAAGAAATAGAGCATTTTTGTTTTCTTGTAAGAACTTACAACTGTTTTTCCAATAAAATGCAGAAACACTGCGCCTGAACCCTGAATATCACTTTCAGCTGAGTCTAGGAGGAAGCTTGAGAATATATAGGATCAGATCAGAAGTTTGCCCAGCACTACTGTTTCTAGAAGTTGCAATAATGGATTCCAAGGTAATATTAGAAAAACAGACATACTGAGACACTTTCCCACAAGTAAACTAGGAAATGGAAAAAAAAAATGGAAATAACAAATATTTCCATTTGTTTTGATCTCTCCAGTTACAAGTTTCATCTGATTTCATGGTAGTTGTGTTGGTCTGAGTGGATGGTAAGAGTAATATCAATAGATTAAGGAAAGATACGGGTACAGAAACCTTCAAGGCCATGGAAGCCATATCTTGTGAAGATTTTACTTCAAAAAAAAAAGGTTGCTGCTTTGAGAGTTTCAAAGGCAAATCCAGAAAAAAAAATGGGAATGGGACTTATACGACGACAGTTGGAATTAAGAAACACCATTCAAAAAGTGCTGCAAACAAAAAATTTATCTGTTTAAATGTTGACTCTGCAGTGAGCACTGTTTTTGCTAACAAAGCTGCTTCATTTCCTCCAGGTTTGCTACCATACAATCTTAGTGCCACCCATATGCGTGTAGAGAGATGGTCCTCCTTAGTATCTGGCATCAGGTCCCACTTGAGATTCGCAAAGTGGATGTCTTATCTCTCTCTTTTTCCCTGAAGAGCTTGGCCTGCTTGGCATCTGCTCAGTGTACGCTGATAACATTGAGTTCAGCATAAAGCACAACTGCCCTGGGCACTTCCACTGAAAAATAACTTGTGGAGAAG